CCCTGTTTCAATCAAAGAAAAATCTTGTCAGTTTAAAATGGTGGTTAGTTGATGGCATTCTTGCTGAAGACGTCTCCGCTGCTGTGTTTTGCCTCGCCTTGCTTCTTGAACTTGCCTTGAACCGCTTTGACTTCCTGACAGACTTTCAAAATCCCCATGACTTTTGATGACCCGAGTGTTCTATCCCATCCTGTTGTTTTACATTTCTGACCCCTTTATCTGAAACTTTGCCTCTCCCCACAAAACTATCTGGCCAATCCACCGACGAAACTTCCGATAATCCTTTGTGTCTTACTTTGCATTTTGACATCTTTGGTATATTCCGGCCCTGTTGTGCTTTGCAATTGGGAAACTGGTAGTTAGCCTTGACATCCTTTCCTCTTTGTTTCGAACAAGACCGACATTGAAACATCTTAAAGAACAAACCTCAAAAAGAATGAAATGCAATGACCTTGAGAGTTAAGGATAAAGAGAGTCCAAAACCAGACGATTTATAAAAGGAAAGAAAAGAAAAGAGACTTATCTGAGTGGAACAGCTGGTGCCATTGATCATGCCATGCATTTTGGACTAACCGGCCCAATTTGTCCAACCGATCAACTTTCAATTGCCACGCTTTGTTGCCCCAGAATTCCATAACCTGATTTCTTCAACCCAAACCTTAACCTTATCCATCTTGCAATGTCTTGAACAACTTTCAACCATAGACTCATCTCATTTGTCCATCTGAAAACTCACTTTCGCCTTAAGGTGCCCGAAAGGGTTTTCACCAATAAGACTCTCTCATTTCTAATTTCCCTCAACTCACTTTGCCTTACGGTGCCCGTGAGGGTTTTCACCAATAAGACTCTTTCATTTTTATTTCTCTCAACTCACTTCGCCTTACGGTGCCCGTGAGGGTTTTCACCAATAAGACTCTCTCATTTTCATCATTTTTCTGCTTGGACCAAAATGTCGTCCCTAACATAAATCACCTCTTCTTGCTCGACTTGGCATTCCCTGAAGACTGATCAGAAGGTCTTTCTTTGGACCGTAATGCAGGCTATTGGACAGGGTTAGAAAGAAAGGGTATCAAAGGCTCAAAAACAATTCGACGTGGGTTCAAAACTACAACTGTCGGAATCAAATCTCTTGAGCAGCCACAACTTCTGCCCCAGTTTCTTCCTTGGGGACTTTTGAACTTTTATTCGGTGTGACTGAACCTCAGAGAGAGGCTGCCTACGTACCCTTTCGGGATCAAGTCAAACGTAGTTCAGGACATAGAAATTAGTTTGTTGTTATGATTTTCCCTTCTTTTTCTTCCATTTTCTCTTCTTTTCTTTTCTTTCCTCCTTTTCTCTTTTTGTTGTTTCTTCTTTCCTTTTCTTTTCTTTTTCTCCTCTTTTTTTTTCTTTTCTTTCTTTCTCTTCTCTTTTTTTCTTTTTCTTTTCTTTTCTCCTTCCTTTTTCCTTCTCTCTCTTTTCATTCTTTTCTTTTCTCTTTCCTTTTACTTAGCTTTCACGCTTGTGTTTCTGATCTTTGCTATTGATTCCAAAAGAGGGGTATGAAAGAAAACAAATAAGGCTCAAAGGGGTAACGAAGGATAAAGTGTTTAGATAGCAGAACAAAATGCCTTCGTCATTCCAATCTTCAAAACATGCCAAGTACAAACAACACATTTAAACAAACCAAGGAAAACATTCGTAACATCTTTTGATTGTACTAGACTTGATAACCGTATCCACACATTCGCCTTCCACATCTGTTAAATACAAAGCATCATTGGACAACACTCTCACTCTCATTACCACGAACGACCTCTGTCAATTTGGGCAAACTTGCCTTTAACTTCAACCCGATGCGGTAGGATGCGTTTCAATAGTGTTTCTTTATATTCTATCTTCCCCAGTTTCACATATTTCCCTTAAGTGTCCCTATCATCTTCAAAATTGTTTCAATGCTTCATGACTAAACTAACTTTCGAGCTCAGGCTGAGAATTATGCATGCATGTCATGTCACTAGAAACAGCATGAAAAGAACTATAAGAGGAGAAGAGAACTAAACAGAAATGACTAGAAATAGCAGAAAACAGAGAATTGCATTTGACAGACGGTGAAAGAGTTTGGACAACAAAACAAGCATAATAAACTGGGATACAACCCTTTAGAACAAACCTAGACAACACTAAATGAGATACTACGACTAAAGGAACTAGACAAAATAAAGAATAGAAGGGTTTGAGTCACAAGACAATATCCGGATTACAACCCTGAAATAACCCGGCAACAGAAATGACAACAAAATAAACAATCAAAACTCCACTCCGGCTGACCAAGAAATGGAGCGTCTTCCCAATTACCAAGCACGGCATCTTAGCCACTGAGTTTCGCATCAATACTGCCAAGACCATTATCAACTTTAATCAACAAGTTCCCAAGAGGATTCGCATGCTCCCTGTCACTGTCATTGACCACAACTACCCCTTCTTGAATCATTATTTCTATTTCCCTTTTCAAAGAGCGACAATCTTCAATGCTATGCCCCCGGACTTTAGAGTGGTACAGCACGATCAAAGCCTTTCGCATATGGGTCTGAAAAATTACTTTTGGGAACTCGTATCAACCAACTCAGTTCTGTTGTTATCTGCCATTGCCTTTTGACTTTATGTTGTAGAGAAGAGTTACCCCTTCAAAAACCACAAACCAATCACCCTTCAGCTATGAGTATAACAAAATGAAGCCATCACGTTTGCGTTAGGGCATTTAACATAAGATAATCTCACTTTACGTGCAATGCACCTAGCCACATTTATCGGTTCTAAAATGACTTCGAGGGTACAAAGGTCATTTGGCATCATCCTAATTTGTTCATTTCAATCTCTCTTTTCTTTGCTTTTCTAGCACTTGCTTGCTCATTTTTCCTTCCTCTTTTTCCTTCTAATTATCATTTTTTCCTTTAGTCTCATTTCTCACATCACATGATTTCACCTCTTTTTCTTTTCCTTTTTTTTCATTTTTTTCTTTTCTCTTTTAATAATAAAAAAAATAATCCGATCGAACCCTATGTAGGTTGCCTACGTATCATGATCCCGCATGAATCAGATCTTTGCGTAGTTCTGGAAGATCGAGAGTAAAGCAAATACACTAACGTTCCCTTTTTCATTTTCTTTTTTTTCTTTTTTATCATAATGACTACTCTGATGAGAAAAGAGAAACAAAAGAAGCAAATCTTTTTTTTTTTTAATTTTCTAGACTTAATGTTATATAACTTATTCTAAACTCAAGCTTAACGAGCATATATTTTTTTCTTTTTTTCTTTTTTGAAACAAATACACTATGGGAAATTATTAAGGAAAAATCCTACAAGAGAAAAATATTTTTTGATTCCCTTTTTTTTTCCTGAAATGAAGTCCAAACAATAAACCAAAGAAAAATATTTCGAATTTTCATTTGATATCCCTGAAGAAAGACTTCGAAACGAGAAATGAACAAAATAAAAAAAATATTTTTTTTGGATTTCGGTTTTTGATTACCTAAGAAAGAAACTTTAAAGACAAAGATAAAGTATGTTTTTCTCTTCTGTGCACAATGTCCTAAAGTTCTTGGAAAAATAAAAGAATTTTTTTTCTATTTTTCATTAATTTCCCAAAGAGGAACCTCAAAAGAAAATCTTTTTGGATTTTTGAGATTAATATCTTAAAGAAAACTTTAAAAAAGGTACTAAAAGGAAAATTCTCTCTTTTTTTTTTGAATTTTTGGTCCTAATATAGTAAAGAAAATATAAAAATAATTTTTATTTTAAGTCCTAGATATTAATTACCTAAAGGAAAAACCACCTCAAAAATATTTGTTTTTTTCATTTCTACAATTAATATTCTAAAGAAAATTCCTAACGGAAATGTAAAATGCAATTCTTTTTTTTTTTTTTGGATTTTTGATTTATTACACACCTTTTTTCAATACAAAATAGGAAATACAATAATAAAGAAAAACTCGACATTACTGTACAAAACTAGAAGGTAAAAGACGGCACAAAAAGAAAAACAGACTCAAAACATATAAAAAAAATAAAAAGAAAAAAAAATCTCCTTAAGCACCCCCCGGTTTCAACCTAGGAACACCTTATCAATCACCACAGGATGCACAGTTACATGATTGCATACCTTTGTCGAGTCCATCCTTTACATTTCAAAGACAATTACTTTACATTTCAAATACATGGTTCGACGATCGCATTTACTTCAATTGAACTCCATCCTTAACGGCCTTTGTACTGCACCATCATTCATCAATTGCCTTATTTTCATTGCATCATCCCACCTCTCTGCAGTCGCATACGTGCTCGATGACAGAACATAGTTACCACCATTATCAAGATCTAATTGAAGAAGTTAGTTGGCAGCAATTTTAGCAACAACCCCATTGCCATGAAGTTTACAAGCACTAAGCAACATTCTCCACAAAACCACATCTGCAGCCATAGGCATAATATTTAATCTCAAATGCTCTATTTAAATTACCAGAGCGGCACAACAAATCAACAACACAACCATATTGCTTCATTTCTGGCACCAATCCATGGTGTTTTTCCATACTATCGAAGTATTCCAAACCTTTATCCACCAAACCTGAATGAGCACAAGCAAGTAGTACGCCGATAAAAGTACCGTGAGTTGGCTTACAATGTTCTAACATCCGGGAGAACAGCTGAAGGGCATTGTCATGAACACCATTCACTGCAAGGCCCGAGATTATCGAAGTCCAAGAGACAGTGTCCTTTCTGTTCATGCTAAAGAATACTTCCAAGGCTGTGTTAACAGATCCACATTTGCAGTACATATCCACCAAAGCATTCCCTACGTAAATATCCATTTTAATGGCATGCTGACGAACGTAATCATGCACTGCCTTACCCACATCAAGTGTACCTAAATGTGCACAAGCAGAGAGTACGCTAGAGACTGTAATTTCATCAGGCTTAACCTTAATTGCCATCATCTCTTGGAAATGCAACGGTCCTGACCAGAGGGGGTCTGTCATGCTCAAACTCCGGTAAGTAAACACTCACCAGTATGAGAAAATCAAGACCAAATAAAGTTAAAGACCTAAAAAACTATGTGAGACAATAACACTCCCTATTGGACACATGCAAGACATGATTGTGACTATTTTCGCAAAATGAATTATCTAGCCAAAAGACGGCTAGAAGTGCAAAATTTGGCTAAGACCCCGCAAAGCCAAGAACCTAAGATTTACTAGGAAGACCGGACCCTATGTGGGTTGCCTACGTACCACGCCCCGAAAGACGAGAATCAGGTATGCGTAGTTCGGGCAGATTGGATACGGGCGAAAATTAAAAAAAACAACTAACTTAGAGAATTTTTTTTTTTGTCTTTTCCTTGAAAATGATGAAACATGCAAACTCTTTTTTGGATTTTCTTTTTCCTTTTAATTTTTTTTTTTTTAAAAAACTTTAGTATAAAAGTTAGTCAAAATTCTTTTTCAAATTTTTCTAAGTCTCTTTTTTTACCCTTTCANTGCGTAGTTCGGGCAGATTGGATACGGGCGAAAATTAAAAAAAAATAACTAACTTAGAGAAAACATATTTTTTTTTTGTCTTTTCCTTGAAAATGATGAAACATGCAAACTCTTTTTTGGATTTTCTTTTTCCTTTTAATTTTTTTTTTTTTTTAAAAAATGATAAAAGTGCAAAATCTTTTTCAATTTTTCAAGCTCTTTTTTTTCCCTCAACAAAATGTAACAGAAAATATAATTGGGCCCCACTCGCTTTATCTTCACACTTCACTCTCTCTTTTTTCTTTTTTTCACTTTTCACTGGTTTTTTTTTTCGTTCATTTTTTTCATTTGCCCTCAGCTATCCTTGGTCTGCCAAATGACCCTTTTACCCTTGAATAAATGCAACATGTAGTACATAGGATGCATCAAGATGGTCTGTTATTTTGGGTACACCTGTCCTAGACGGACCCAACCCCTGTGTTGAGTCCCCTAAGTCACATGCACATGATGCAAACAAGCGTTCCTACTAGGGATCCGGCATGAGGCTGAGTTATTCTAGGTTAAAAAACCTGGGGTTATTGTTCTAGACCTGGCTTACCCGAGCGGACAACTCGAGCCGGGGGGGGGAGGGGGCAGCGTAGAATACAGAAGCTTCGCCGGCTTTGCAACTTGTCCGAACCTGGTTCTAAGTTTGGGAATTGACTCTAACAGAAGAGAAGCTACACGAAGTGCACCCTTCTCCATGATTTAGAAGACTCAGAGAGAGGAAAGGTTTCGGAGCAGTTTATATACAGTTCACAGAATATCAAGCAGTAAAAGCAACATTTAGCACATTAGGCCCAAACATGTAACAAAATCAGATAAAGACAAATATAACAATATATCTAAGCTCGAATTCTGAACCCTGAACCAAAAGTTCTGGGTTCTTATCCCCATCAGAGTGGGCAGAGCTATCACACCTCCTTTTTCACTACTACACCCCGCAAGGGTATAATAAGGGAGTTAATTCCAACTTGAAGTGACAATCGAAACGGGATTATTTTATTTAAAGATTCAGAGTCGCCACTTGGGAGATTTATGGTGTCCCAAGTCACCGGTTTAAAATCTCGAATCGAGAAAAAGAATGACTTTGTTTAACAGTCCGCGCACCAGAAATCTGAGTAAGGAATTCTGTTAACCCGGGAGAAGGTGTTAGGCATTCCCGAGTTCCGTGGTTCTAGCACGGTCGCTCAACTGTTATTATTGGCATAGTTATCTGATTTTAGAAACAATTTAAACCTATGTGCATTTTTACTTTTAACCGCTTTTATTCATTTTAAAAGAAGATCTAACGTCGTCTAAAATATGTCTTTGGATCACGTCACATGAAATGCACCCGTAATCCGAAACACATTTTATTCAACGTTATAAGGATTTGGATTTGGGTCACATGAAATGCACACCCGAGTTTAGGAAGGTAATATTATTAAAGTACGCGCCTGAAGCAACTACGCGTTTTTAGCTTTGCGAGGGCCATGGAATTTTGCTAAATGGCACGCCTCGAATTCTAGGGATCAACACAAGATTAACTAAAACGAGGGCCATGCAATTTGAAATTTTGTTCGGCACGGCACACCTCGACTTCCAATTTTAAAAGGGAATTTCAACTACCTTTGGAGGGCCATAAGCTATTTATCTATACTATATTAAAAGTACGAAGGCCCTAAGCGAAATGTCATTCGCCTTTTATACCCTCTAAAAATTAATTTCACACTAGACAAAATAGTCATTAATTATTTCTCTACTTCTTAGGACTTTAAAATCATCTAATAATTTACTTATTCTTTTTTTCCTTATTTGAATTATGCGAAAGTTCTTAAGTTAACAATACCGTCCAAAGCAAAGTACTTAAATCAAAACTACTAAGTTACCGTCCAAAGCAAAGTATACCTCTTTTGTTAAAAATCCTTCAAAATTTTAAAAGTAAAAAAAAAAAAAAAAAGAGTTTGAATTGGATATTGCCAAAATTTAAAACATAAAAATAAACTTATATTTAGGATTCTGAATTCATATTTTACCAATTTTACTTTTTTTTTAAACTTATTTTTTTACCAAAGCAAATATTTAAAAATTATTTCCATCTAAAAGATATGAATAGTTCATAATAGCAAGTAATATAAAACTGAATTTGCATTGGAATAAAAGATCTTAAACTTTCAGTTTAGCTAAATTCGAATATGTCAAGCCTTTACCGGAAGATAAAATTAATCTGTACAATTAGGATACACTCTATTTTTACTATTTCTTTTTTATTAATTCTAAGCATCTAAGAAAATCATTTCATCGTCTGAATATTGTTTGATGTCTACAGTAAAATAATGATAAGCATTAATTTTCTACTTTAAGGTTGTGTATAATAAATCATTATGGTCCGGCCCTACCTCAAACCCCCGCATAGCAGGAGTTTAATGCACTAGACTGTTCTTTTATTTATTTTTTATCTTAAATTTTTTATGATTATTTTATTTCGATCTAGAAATAAATTTAGTTGAATTAGAATATTATCATCCAATTAAATTTTTCGTATGATAACTAAACTAATAATATGAAATCTCTTTTTATTTTTTCGTACAATTTGAGTTCCAACAGGAATAAGATGAAGTTCATATTAGGTTCTTGAGCAAATATAATTCATATTTCTAAGACAACGGAGAACATAGTATTGTCTCATTGTATTTAAGTACAAGTCAACATACTATATATTCGACTATAAGCTACTAAAGCAAATGCATATTGAAGTTATAATAAAGCTTTAGATTTCTTTTGTGTGGCATAGAGGGTATTTGGCTAAGCTTATAAGCTGGTCAAACTAGCTTATAAGCACTTTTTGGCTTATCTACCCATTTGGTAAAATTAGAAGTGCTTATAAGTTAATTGCTTATAAGCCAAAAATAAGCCAAAAGTCATAAGTTGGTCTCCCCCAACTTATCAAATTTCAGCTTATAAGCTGTAACGACCCGACCGGTCGTTTCGAGTGCTAGCGCTCCGTTCAGCAGTCAGAGGCCATGAACAGCTTCATTTCAGGTATTATGACTTGTACGCATGGTCGGAATTTAATTTCGGGAAGTTCGGAATTGATTTGGGAAGAGAATTCTCATTCCAGAAGCTTAAAGTTGAAAGAATGAACTAGGATTGGAATTTTGAGTAAACGACCTCGGAATTGGGATCCGAAGGTTCCAGCAGGTTCGTATGATGATTTCGGACTTGGGCGTATGCCCGGATTAGGTCTTGGATAACCCGGGAGCGTTTTGGCGCCTATTGTGGAAGTTAGCACTTTAGAAGGAATTTCATAAGTTTGGTTTGAAGTGCATTTCAGAGTTATTGATGTCCGTTTGGAATTCCGAGACTGGAGTAGTTTCGTATGGTGATTCTGGAGTTGGGGGCGCGATCGGAAGTGAATTCGGAGGTCCGTAGGTCATTTTGAAGCCATTTGGCTAAAGATAGAAATTTGAAGGTTTTTGGAAAGTTTGACCGGAGGTTGACTTTTTGATATCGGGGTCGGAATCCAATTTCGGAAGTTGGAGTAGGTCCGTAATGTCAAATATGATTTGTGTGCAAAATTTGAGGTCAATCGGACGTGATTTGATAGGTTTAAACATCGGAAATAGAAGTTTGAAATTTTAAAGTTCATAAAGCTTGAATTGGGGTGTAATTCATGATTTTAGTGTTGTTTGATAGGATTTGAAGCCTCGAGCAAGTTCGTAATATGTTTTGGGAATGGTTGGTGTGATTGGCTGGGGTCGCGGGGGCCTCGGGTGGATTCCGGATGGTTAACGGATTGAAATTGGAATTTGGAAGAGAGCTGAAGGCATCTGGTTCCTGGTGTTTTCGCTTCTGCGGTTGGTCGACCGCAGAAGCGGCACCGCAGAAGCGAACGGGGAGCCGCAGATCCGATTTTTGGTCCAAAGCTTGAGGACCGCAGATGCGGTCGAAATTCTGCAGAAGCGAAACCACATCTGCGGAAGGGGCATCACAGAAGCGAGAAAGGGCGGCATGGGAAGGAGCCGCAGAAGCGGCCTTTGGACCGCATAAGCGGAACCGCTGATGCGGCATGGCTTTCGCAGAAGTGGAAATGACTGGAAGCAGAACCTTGTTTTAAATCATGGGATTGAGTTCATTTCTCCCATTTCTTCATGGCTTAGGCAATTTTTGGGGAGCTTCAAGAGAGGGTTTTGTCGTCAATGTTGAGGTAAGGTATCCCCACCACTTTTGAGTTGAATATATCAATTATATATGGGTTTAAGCATGGAAATTAGAGTAAATATTGAGGTTTTGGTTGAAAACCTAGAAAATTATAATCTTGGATTTTAGCCACGATTTTGAGTATGGAATTAAGAGAAAATTATATATTTTAGTTCCTAAGGTCATGGGTAATCTTTATCTTCGAAAAAATTTCGGATTCCGGGCACGTAGGCCCGAGGGCATTTTGGTCATTTCTC